GACAGTTTGTGGCCCTGTGCTTAGGCTCAGGCCTTTGGCTAAGCAGCAGAGGCAGCCATAAGCTGGGAAGCGACTGGTCACCTCCTCACATTCCAAACTAGTCACATTGAAATAAGGTGCAATTGGGCTGTTAGGCACTATCAGGACAGGATTGTATTCCTATCACCTCCAGAGAAAGGGAAGTGCCTAGAAAATGTAAAAGGAAACTTAGTTTGATAGCATCCTGTCTGGCAAGAACTCACTTATCAATAGCTGGGATGTGAAATCCTCACTTCTGTATTGTTTTGTCATTATAGTTCCCACTTTGCTGTTGTTTGTCTGTATAATCTCTGTCTGGTTCTGTGATTGTTCCTGTCTGCTGTATAATTAATTTTGCTGGGTGTAAACTAATTGAGGTGGTGGGATATAATTGGTAACATAATCATGTTACAATATGTTAGGATTGGTTAGTTAAATTTCAGGAAAATGATTGGTTAAGGTATAGCTAAGCAGAACTCAAGTTTTACTATATAATCTGTAGTCAATGAGGAAGTGACTGGGGTGTGGGTGGGCATGTGGGTGTGTGAGATGGGAACAGGGAATCGGGGTAAGAAAATTGGAATCATGTTTTGCTAAAGGGGGAAATGGGAACAGGGAATGGGAGTAAGGAAGTTGGAATCATGTTTGGCTAAGGGTAGGAATGGGAACAGGGACACAGGCGTAAGGCTCTGTGGTGTCAGAGCTGGGAAGGAGGATACTAAGGAAGGAAACTGGAATCATGCTTGCTGGAAGTTCACCCCAATAAACATCAAATTTTTGCATCTTTGGACTTCGGGTATTGTTGCTCTCTGTTCATGCGAGAAGGACCAGGGAAGTAAGTGGGTGAAGGAATAAGCCCCCTAACACCGACCAGGGCCAGAGGGGCCAGAGGAGCAGCCCAGAGAAGAGAGCTGTGTAATCAGGAAAGCCAAAGGAAAACTGGAGTTGCAGTTAGCAAGGGATGTGAAGGGTAACAAAAAGGGTTTCTAAAGTATGTTAGCAACAAGAAGGTGGTCAGGGAAAGTGTGGGACCTTCACTGAATGGGGGAGGCAACCTAGGGACAGATGATGTGGAAAAAGCTGAAGTCCTCAATGCTTTTTTTCCTTCAGTCTTCGAAGACAAGGTCAGCTCCCAGACTGCTGCCCTGTACATCACAGTATGGGGAGGAAGTGAGCAGCCCTCCATGGTGAAAGAACAGGTTGATGACTATTTAGAAAAGCTGGACATGTACATAGGGCCGGATGCAATACATCCAAGAGTGCTCAGGGAGTTGGCGGATGTTACTGCGGAGCCATTGACCATTATCTTTGAAAGCTTATGGCAACTGGGGCAGATCAAGGAGAATTGGAAAAAAGCAAATGTAGTGCTCATCTTTAAAAAAAGGGAAGAAGGAGAACCTGGGAACTACAGACCTGTCAGCCTCACGGGGGAAAATCATGAGGCAGGTCTTCAAGGAATCTATTGTGCTTGGAGGAGAGGAAGTTAATCAGGAACAGTCAACATGGATTCACAAAAGTCAAGTCCTGACCAACCTAATTGCCTTCTATGATGGGCTCCCCCTAAACCAAAGTGGAGCCAGCCTGCTGGCACTTCACATTAGAAAGGTTGCAGAGCAATTTTAAAACTAAGAGATGGGGAAAGCCGATCGTTGCAGAGGCGCACGTGGGTCGGACAGAGACTTCTCTTAGAGGAGAGTCTATTGAGAGAGATTATCTAGGTTCTAGTCAGGAGGAGGGGGATGGAGGAGGATAAAGTAGGGGCCAGATCAGATGAGAAACATGCACATAAAGAATCTGACACATCAGAAAAGGGCAGACAAATAAAGAGTGACAAGTTTTTAAAGTGCTTGTACACAGATGCTAGAAGTCTAAATAATATGGATGAACTAGAGTGCCACATGTTAAAGGAGGATATTGATATAATCGGCATCACAGAAACCTGGTGGAGTGAGCACAATCAATGGGACACAAACATTCCAGGGTACAAAATATATCAGAAGGACTGAACAGGTCGTGTGGCTAGGGGAAGGGAATGCCCCTATATGTGAAAGAAAATGTAGAATCAAATGAAATAAAAATCTTAAATTAATCCACATGTTCCATAGAATCTCTCTGGATAGTAATTCCAGGCTCTAATAAGAATATAACAGTAGAGATTTATTATCGACCACCTGATCAGGACAGTGGTAGTGATGATGAAATGCTAAGGGAGATTAGAGAGGCTATCAAAATAAAGAACTCAATAATAGTGGGGGATTTCAATTATTCCCATATGGACTGGGTGCACGTCACCTCAGGATGAAATGCAGAGACAAAATTTCTCGATACTTTAAACGACTGCTTCTCGGAGCAGCGGGTACAGGAACCCCAAGGGGAGTGGCAACTCTCGATGTAGTTCTGAGTGGAGCCCAGGATCTGGTCCAAGAGCTAACTAGAACAGGACCGCTTGGAAATAGTGACCATAATATAACAACATTTAACATTCCTGTGGTGAGAACACCTCAAAAGCCCAATACTGTGGCATTTAATTTCAGAAAGGGGAACTATTCAAAAATGAGGAGGTTCGTTCAACAGAAATTAAAAGGTACAGTGACTAGAGTAAAATCCCTGCAAACTTCATGGACACTTTTCAAAGACACCACAATAGAGGCTCAACTTAAATGTATACCCCAAATTTAAAAACACAGTAACAGAACTAAAAAAGAGCCACCGTGGCTTAACAACCGTGTAAAAGAGGCAGTGAGAGATAAAAAGGCATCTTTTTAAAAGTGGAAGCCAAATCCTAGTGAGGTAAATAGAAAGGAGCATAAACACTGCCAAATTAAATGTAAAAATGTAATAAGAAAAGCAAAAAGGGAGTTTGAAGAACAGCGAGCCAAAAACTCAAGAGGTAATAACAAAATGTTTTTAAGTCCATCGGAAGCAGGAAGCCTGCTAAACAAGCAGTGGGGCCCCTGGATGATCGAGATACAAAAAGAAAAGGAGTACTTGTGGCACCTTAAAGACTAACCAATTCATTTGAGCATAAGCTTTCGTGAGCTACAGCTCACTTCATCGGATGCATACCATGGAAACTGCAGAAGACATTATTGTTTCATGGTCTCTGTGTATATAATGTCTTCTGCAGTTTCCACAGTATGCATCCGATGAAGTGAGCTGTAGCTCACGAAAACTTATGCTCAAATAAATTGGTTAGTCTCTAAGGTGCCACAAGTCCTCCTTTTCTTTTTGCAAATACAGACTAACACGGCTGTTAGTCTGAAACGAGATACAAAAGGAGCACTTAAAGATAATAAAGTCATTGCAGAGAAACTAAATGAATTCTTTGCTTCAGTCTTCACAGCTGAGGATGTTAGGGAGATTCCCAAACCTGAGCCATCTTTTATAGGTGACAAATCTGAGGAATTGTCACAGATTGAAGTGTCACTAGAGGAGGTTTTGGAAATAATTGATAATCATAGAATCATAGAATCATAGAATCTCAGGGTTGGAAGGGACCTCAGGAGGTCATCTAGTCCAACCCCCTGCTCAAAAGCAGGACCCATCCCCAATTAAATCATCCCAGCCAGGGCTTTCTCAAGCCTGACCTTAAAAACTTCTAAGGAAGGAGATTCCACCACCTCCCTAGGCAACGCATTCCAGTGTTTCACCACCCTCCTAGTGAAAAAGTGATAAACTTAACAGTAATAAGTCACCAGGACCAGACGGCATTCACCCAAGAGTTCTGAAAGAACTTAAATGTGAAATTGTGGAACTATTAACTATGGTTTGTAACCTGTCCTTTAAATCAGCTTCTGTACCCAATGACTGAAAGATAGCTAATGTAACATCAATATTTAAGAAGGGCTCTAAAGGTGATCCTGGCAATTACAGACTAGTAAGTCTAACGTCAGTACCGGGTAAATTAGTTGAAACAATAGTGAAGAATAAAATGGTCAGACACATAGAAGAACATAAATTGTTGGGCAAAAGTCAACACGGTTTCTGTAAAGGGAGATCATGTCTAATTAATCTGTTAGAGTTCTTTGAGGGAGATCCAGTGGACAAAATGTACTTAGATTTCCAGAAAGCCTTTGACAAGGTCCCTCACCAAAGGCTCTTAAGTAAATTAATTGTCATGAGTTAAGAGGAAAGATCCTTTCATGGATTGAGAACTGGCCAAAAGACAGGGAACAAAGGGTAGGAATAAATGGTAAATTTTCAGAATGGAGAGGGGTAACTAGTGGTGTTCCCCAAGGGTCACTCCTAGGACCAATCCTATTCAACTTATTCAGAAATGATCTGGAGAAAGGGGTAAACAGTGAGGTGGCAAAGTTTGCAGATGATACTAAACTTCTCAAGATAGTTAAGACCAAAGCAGGCCATGAAGGCCTTCAAAAAGATTTCACAAAACTAAGTGATTGGGCAACAACATGGCAAACGAAATGTAATGTGGATAAATGTAAAGTAATGCACATTGGAAAGCATAACCCCAACTATACATACAATATGATGGGGGCTAATTTAGCTAGAACTAATCAGGAAAGAGATCTGGGAATCATTATGGATAGTTCTCTGAAGATGTCTACGCAGCGTGCAGCAGCAGTCAAAAAAGCAAACGGGATGTTAGGAATCATCAAAAGAGGGATAGAGAATAAGACAGAGAATACCTTATTGCTCTTATATAAATCCATGGTACGCCCACATCTTGAATACTGTGTACAGTGTGGCCACCCTATGAGTTAATGAGTTGTACACAGACCCATTTCCCAGTTTGTCAGTCTGACACAGCAGAGCATGGTCAGGAAAGGATTGAATGTCACTTGTAAGGTACAAACAGTGATTCAGAGAAGGGGGCCCAGGACCATGTCCCCAGCCAGCTCTACATGGAGCTCAGACTGAGAGCCAGAGCACCAGCAGAAAATTTTAGGTCCCTTTATGAGAAAAGAGAAGGAGCAGCCTGGCCCGGATCAGTCTGGTCCTCACCCCGTAAATGATGGGGTTTAGCATGGGGGGCACCAGGAGATATATGTTGGCATGAGAACATGGAAATGCAGGGGCACATTGTGGCCAAACCGCTGCGTGAGGAAGGAGAAGAGAGCGGGGATGTAAAAGGCTAAGATGACACAGAGGTGGGAGCTGCAGGTCCCAAAAGTTTTGAGCCGGGCGTCCTTTGTGGGGAGGCTGAAGATGGCTCTGAGGATCTGGGTGTAGGACACAGCAATAAAAAGCACATCCAGACCAGTCACAAAGAATACCACAAAGAGGCCGTAGTATCTACTGATGTGGGTATTGTTGCAGGCCAGCTTCACCACAGCTATATGGTCACAGTATGTGTGGGGGATGATGTTGGTCCTGCAATATGGCCACCGCCTTGCCAGGAGGAGAAAGGGCAGTCTGACTATGCTGCCACACAGCACCAGAGCCAGACCAATCTTGGCCACCACGGGGTTTGTCAGGATGGTGGAATGTCTCAGGGGGTGGCAGATGGCCATGTAGCGATCCAAAGCCATGGCCACGAAGATCCCAGACTCTATCACTGAGAAGCACTGAATGAAGTACACCTGGGTGAGGCAGGCACTGAAATCTATCTCTCTGGAATTCAACCAGAAGATGCTCAGTGTTTTGGGTAGGATGGATGTAGACAGGACCAGGTCGCTGATGGCCAGCATGCAGAGGAAATAGTACATAGGCCCATGGAGGCTCGGCTCCCTCTTCACAATGAATAGGATGGTGAAGTTCCCCAAGATGGCTATCGTGTACATGGTGCAGAAGGGGATGGAGATCTAGATATGGGCCATCTCCAGGCCAGGAATGCCCAGCAGGATGAAGGTGGAGGGGTTGGTGATGTCGGTTGTGTTGGAATGTGACATGGAGTAGGGGAGAAGGTGTCCAACTCTGAGGCAGAACGGTGTCTCCTGCATGTACCATACGTTCCCCTGACTTCCTGTATGTGCTCAAGCTCTAGGGTGATGGTTGCAGGAAATATTCCTGGATGGAGAGACAATGTTAATATGAAATACTACATGAACTACTGGAAGTGTTCTCATAGGTGAAGCAGATTTGTCACTCTTCACACACAGAGAAATGGTGTTTTCGACAATTCAGGGAAATGAATTATGAACAACTGACCCTATTAATGCCTATTCCATATATTGTGGTGCTCCATGCATCAATAATCAATAATCCCTACATGTTGTGGTGTGGATATTAGGCATCAGCTGGAAATGAGACCCAAATGAGACCCAGGCTACAGGGCCTCTGCTGTAGGGATTTTCCCATTCCCCCAGTTGCTCAGAATCTGAGAGAGAAAAAAAATCCAAACCTTTGCCAAGACATGTGCCGGGGGAAACATCCCAACTGCTACACAACACAGGGAAAATAAACCCTGTTAATCGTTGACAGCAGCTCCATGGAAGCACTTGCTTATTCACAGCAGTGGGTAAAAAAAAGACAATGTTCAGATGTCAAAGGAATATAATCATAGAATCATAGAATATTAGTGTTGGAAGGGACCGCAGGAGGTCATCAAATCCAATCCCGTGCTCAAAGCAGGACCAATCCCCAACTAGATTATCCCAGCCAGGGCTTTGTCATGCCTGACCTTAAAAACTTCTAAGGAAGGAGATTCCACCACTTCCCTAGGTAACACATTCCAGTGCTTCACCACTCTCCTAGTGAAAAAGTTTTTCCTAATATCCAACCTAAACCTCCCCCACTGCAACTTGAGACCATTACTCCTCGTTCTGTCATCAGCTACCACTGAGAACAGTCTAGATCCATCCTCTTTGGAACCCCCTTCAGGTAGTTGAAAGCAGCTATCAAATCCCCCCTCATTTTTCTCTTCTGCAGGCTAAACAATCCCAGTTCCCTCAGCCTATCCTGATAAGTCATGTGCTCCAGCCCCCTAATCATTTTTATTACCCTGCGCTGGACTCTTTCTATTTTTTCCACATTCTTCTTGTAGAGTGGGGCCCAAAACTGGACACAGTACTCCAGATGAGCCCTCACCATTGCTGAATAGAGGGGAATGATCATGTCCGTCAATCTGCTGGCAATGCCCCTACTTTATACAGCCCAAAATGCCATTAGCCTTCCTGGAAACAAGGGCACACTGTTGACTCGTATCCAGATTCTCATCCACGGTAACCCTATGGCAGGATTTGTACCTGGTCAACCCCTTTTATTCCGGGGGGGCGAGGTTAACCCCACCTCCCAGCTTCCATGCCGGTTCTACCACCTCCCCGATAGTCAGGGCTGTATGTCCAATGGCCAGAGTCCCTCTAAATCTTCTTCCTCTGGTGGGATAGCACGGCCTAGCAGCGAGAATCCCTAGTGTGTGCTCCCAAAGCAGTGTGGCCTGAGGGCCAGAGTCCCTCTAAGTCCTCTTCCCCTCATAGGATAGTGCGGCCTGGCAGCTGGAGTTCATCTATGTCCTTTGAGGTTAATGAGGGGTCGGTGAACTATGTCATCACACAAAAAAGGGGGAGGTTAGAGACCCCCCATTAGGGGGAGCCCGGGCCCACCTGACTTCACCGAGCTCCAACCTAGGGCCCTGTCATTAACGGCGTGATCCGTCCCGGGTCGGTGGGGAATCCTACCACAACACGCTGCCCTCAGAGTGATGGGAGATACCACTCCCTTCCCTTTCCTGGGTCACTTCCTACCAGTTCTCCAAATGTAGCAGTCCCTGGGGCATCAGGAGCCTCATCCCCTGGCTCTTCCTGGGGTTCCCACAGCTGCCAGTCTCTGGTCCCACTTCCTGGCCCCTCGGCTCCCTCCTGTATGAGTCACCACTGCTCCTGGGCTGGAGCCTCCAATGGGCATCCTCCTTTCTCAGCCACCCACCCTGACTGAGCAGCTCTGCAGGCTTTTATACTTGAGTCCCTGTTGGACCATGTCCAGCAGAGCCTCAAGGTCGTGGCTTCCTCTGCTAGCAGGGAAGGGTTAACTGTCTCAGGCCCAGTGCAGGGCCAGTCTGCGTCATCACAAACCCCTAGGTCCTCTTCTGCAGAACTGCTGCCGAGCCACTCAGTCCCTAGTGTGTAGTGCTGATGGGATTCTTCCTTCCTAAGTGCAGGACTCTTCACTTGTCCTTGTTGAACCTCATCAGATTTCTTTTGGCCCTGTCATAAATATAAAGGGAAGGGTAACCACCTTTCTCTATAGGGTTAAGAAGCTAAGATAAGCTTGCTGGCACCTGACCAAAATGACCAATGAAGGGACAAGATACTTTCAAAGATGGAGGGGGGGAAACAAAGGGTCTGTCTGTCTGTGTGATGCTTTTGCTGGGAACAGAACAGGAATGCGCTTCATAACTCCTCAGAACTCCTGTTAAGTTAGTAAGTAATCTAGCTAGAAATGTGTTAGATTTTATTTTGTTTAATGGATTGTAAATAAACTGTGCTGAATGGACTAGATATTCCTGTTTTTATGTCTTTTTGTAACTTAAGGTTTTTACTAGAGGGATACTCTATGTTTTGAATCTGATTACCCTGTATTTACCATCCTGATTTTACAGAGGTGATTTTTTTACTTTTTTTTCTTTAATTAAAATTCTTCCTTTAAGATTGTCAAGGTTCCTTCCCCACTCTGAACGCTAGGGTACAGATGTGGGGACCTGCATGAAAAACCTCCTAAGCTTATCTTTACCAGCTTAGGTCAAAACTTCCCCAAGGTACAAAATATTCCACCCTTTGTCCTTGGATTGGACGCTACCACCACCAAACAAATACTGGTTACTGGGGAAGAGCTGTTTGGACGCGTCCTTCCCCCCAAAATACTTCCCAAAACCTTGCACCCCACTTCCTGGACAAGGTTTGGTAAAAAGCTTCACCAATTTACCTAGGTGACTACAGACCCAGACCCTTGGATCTTAAGAACAATGAACAATCCTCCCAACACTTGCACCCTCCCCCCCTTTCCTGGGAAATGTTGGATAAAAAGCCTAACCAATTTGCATAGGTGACCACAGACCCAAACCCTTGGATCTGAGAACAATGAAAAAGCATTCAGTTTTCTTACAAGAAGACTTTTAATAGAAATAGAAGTAAAGAAATCACCTCTGTAAAATCAGGATGGTAGATATCTTACAGGGTAATTAGATTCCAAACATAGAGAACCCCTCTAGGCAAAACCTTAAGTTACAAAAAAGATACACAGACAGAAATAGTTATTCTATTCAGCACAATTCTTTTCTCAGCCATTTAAAGAAATCATAATCTAACACATACCTAGCTAGATTACTTACTAAAAGTTCTAAGACTCCATTCCTGGTCTATCCCCAACAAAAACAGCATATAGACAGACTGAGACCCTTTGTTTCTCTCTCTCCTCCCAGCTTTTGAAAGTATCTTGTCTCCTCCTTGGTCATTTGGTCAGGTGGCAGTGAGGTTAGCTTTAGCTTCTTAACCCTTTACAGGTGAGAGGAGTTTTTCCTCTGGCCAGGAGGGATTTCAAAGGGGTTTACCCTTCCCTTTATATTTATGACAAAGGTCCTGTTTGCTTTTTTCATTTTTTGTAAGATCCAAGGGTTTGGGTCTGTGTTCACTAGTAAGAATAAGCTTTGGGGGTCTTTTATGCAGGTCCCCACATTTGTACCCTAGAGTTCAGAGTGGGGAAGGAACCTTGATGTGGTGGCAGAGCGGTGGGATAATTTTGAGATTTTTTTTTTAGATCATTTTGAAACAGAAGCACAGTAGAGTTTTAACAAGACATGTTTTTTTTTTCCCTTTGAGCTGCTTGGAAACAGGTTTTAAGCTGAAAGCAGTTAGAGTTTCTTGGTCTCTGCCTGGGGGCCAAAGCAGCAAGCATAACAAAGGGATTTGTCTTTTTTGAGCTGGAGTTTTCTCTACCTCAAGGCATGGTAGTTAACCTCCTGCAGGGAAATTCACAAGTTTTTCACAGACCTTGTCATAAATATAAAGGGAAGGGTAAACCCCTTTGAAATCCCTCCTGGCCAGGGGAAAAATCCTCTCACCTGTAAAGGGTTAAGAAGCTAAAGGTAACCTCGCTGGCACCTGACCAAAATGACCAATGAGGAGACAAGATACTTTCAAAAGCTGGGAGGAGGGAGAGAAACAAAGGGTCTGTGTGTCTGTCTATATGCTGCTTTTGCCAGGGACAGAACAGGAATGGAGTCTTAGAACTTTTAGTAAGTAATCTAGCTAGGTATGTGTTAGATTATGATTTCTTTAAATGGCTGAGAAAAGAATTGTGCTGAATAGAATAACTATTTCTGTCTATGTATCTTTTTTGTAACTTAAGGTTTTGCCTAGAGGGGTTCTCTATGTTTTTGAATCTAATTACCCTGTAAGATATCTACCATCCTGATTTTACAGGGGGGGATTTCTTTATTTCTATTTACTTCTATTTTTTATTAAAAGTCTTCTTGTAAAAAACTGAATGCTTTTTCATTGTTCTCAGATCCAAGGGTTTGGGTCTGTGGTCACCTATGCAAATTGGTGAGGCTTTTTATCCAACATTTCCCAGGAAAGGGGGGGTGCAAGTGTTGGGAGGATTGTTCATTGTTCTTAAGATCCAAGGGTCTGGGTCTGTAGTCACCTAGGCAAATTGGTGAGGCTTTTTACCAAACCTTGTCCAGGAAGTGGGGTGCAAGGTTTTGGGAAGTATTTTGGGGGGAAAGACGCGTCCAAACAGCTCTTCCCCAGTAACCGGTATTAGTTTGGTGGTGGTAGCGGCCAGTCCAAGGATAACGGGTGTAATATTTTGTACCTTGGGGAAGTTTTGACCTAAGCTGGTAAAG